GAGGGGGAGAGACGGACGGGAGGACCCAGGGAGGGTGGCGTGCCTGTGGGGCGCACTGTGTGGGTGCACTGCCCCCTTCTGTTGTCCTGGGCTCTGCTGCCCCGCCCATCTCCCTCCTGGAGGCCCGGCCCTCTCGCTCTGTGTCCCTGAGCCAGCCTGTCTATGCACAGCAGGCCCCGTCTGGTGGGCTCAGGTATGCGGAGGGGACAGATGGGAACCTCACGGTTCTTGAGCAGAGGGGGGCCGCAGGTAGCCTGGTGCCCCCACCTCCCAGCCCAGTCTGCAGGCCAGGCGGGGAGAGGGGCCCACGTCATATTCTGATAAACCGAGTCATCGGGGGCCGCGCCCTACTCAGCCCCTGCCCCAGGGATGGTCCTGCCAGTGTGTCTGGGGTCTCCAGGCGGCACTGACGTCTGAGGAGGGGCCTGGGGCGGAGGCTGGTTTGTGCATTTGCTGTTTCCTGTTCACGCAGCCAGTGACTGTGATTCCTCGAGGTTGTTTTGGTTGGAAGAAGAGTGGATACTCACTGGCTCGACCAGAACCTTTAATCGGCTTCTAAAACTGCTTCCCCTTCTCATCCAGAGGGAGAGTGCACCCTGCACCCCACTTGGGGCACTGCTTAGGGCCGGTCCATCTTCCTGGCTGGGCTGGCGGGGCTGGCTCCGCAGCCTGGCCTGGGGCTGGGGGCTTGCCACACAGGCCTGGGGGTGCAGGGATGCGGGCTGTGACAGAGAAGTGTCCCTTCCGGCCCGGACCGTCCTCCTTCCTGCTCCCCCTCCTCCCTCATCCTCTCCTCCTCTCCCTCCCCGTCCTCTTGCTCCTCCTCCCTCCTTCCCATCTTTCCTTTCTTCTCCTCCCGCCCTCCTGCGTCTTCTCTTCCTCTTGGCTCCTTTGTGGAAAGAGGATGCATGGGTTGGCCTGTTGCGTTGAACCCTGTCCTGGGTCTGTCCAGCCCAAGCCAACACTGACCAGCCTGGGACACATTGCCACCACATCTGCAGGGCACCTTCTTGTTGTTGAGATTTCTGTCCCGTGGCGAGGACCAGCTGTTCGCAGCCTGGAACATGAAGGAGCCCACGTTTGTGGACCAAGCCTGACATGGCTGCCCCCTGTGGCCGTAGACTCTTGTGCAGTCGTGGCGGTGGAGCCACCCCACTGGGAGGCCTCAGGTGGCTTCTGTGAAGGAATAGCACCGATTCTGAACCCTTGGTCTTTGGTCCCGTGGTCAGTGAGGTGCTGGGACATTTGATGGGAGATCCTCCTTTGCTTGCTATGTTGATAGCTAATCGATGTGCACACATGTTAGTAATGAGTTGGGATTAAATGTTTTCAGATAATTATACAGAAGTAGAAGGAGCACTAGTGGCGCAAGAGTTAAAGTGCTCAGCTGCTGAAGGAAAGGTTGGCAGTTCAAATCCACCAGCCAGTCGGTGTAAGAAAGATGGGGCAGTCAGTTTCCGTGGAGACCCTGTGGGCAGTTCCACTCTGTCCTCTAGGGGCGCTGTGGGTCGGAATGGACTCCAGGCAGTGGGTGTGGTTTGGGCTTTGCTTCTGTGAAGACTGACAGCCTGGGAGACCCTGTGGGCAGTTCCACTCTGTCCTCTAGGGGCGCTGTGGGTTGCAATGGAGTGGAAGATAGTGGGTTGTTTTGTTTTGTTTTTGCTTATATAGAAACAAGCAGCTCTTTTGCTTCCCAGGAAGATGTAAAGGATTTCTGATTTGCTTTGTTAAGTGGAGCTTGGGGTGTGATGAGTGTCCTCAGCAAAACTCCTCCTCTGCAGTCCAGTGGCTTCAGTTTTAACTTCTTTGGCCACCCCAACAACGCCCGTGCTGAGCACAAAAGAAGTGCTCACTTTCAGCGTCTCTTGGCTTAAAATTACGTCCTCAGCCTTCCAGTTACACGTTACGGAAGCTGTTGATGTTGTTAGCTGCTGTCCGGTCACTCTGACTCATGGCGGCCCGTGTGCGACAGAAAGGAACGCTGCCTGGTCCTGCAGGGCCCTCTCGACCGCTGGTCCCCATGCTGGCCGTGGCCACTGTGTGGTCTGAGCACCTTCCAGCCGGGACTCGCCGGCTCCGTCACACAGCGTTCCTTCTGCTGCGGCCCGTGGGCGTCACTGGCTGGTTTTCTGAAGTACGTCCGCAGGCCTTCCTTAGTCTCAGCCCAGACCTCCACTGAAACCTGTCCACCACAGGTGACCCTGCTGCTATGTGAAATGCTGCTGGCACCCCAGCCACACAAGACCCCCACAGTCAACAGACGGGCAGACGCGGGCTCAGAGGACTAGGGTTACTAAGCTCAGGAATGGAAAGAAAGCTGCAGTGGCGGGGACCCGAATCCTGCCTGCTCTGTGACAGATGGCCTCTGCCTTCCTCCGCAGCACTGGGCCCACCTGGCGTCCCGCCCGGCGGGGCTCTGAGTGGGTCGGGGCCCAGCCGGTCTCACGTCCTGGACTTTGGACGCTCACCCTTGACCACATTCAGTGGCGGCCACTGGGCTGCAGAGATGTGGCTGCCTCAGGAGCTGCCTGCTGTGGGAACCGTGACTGCATTTAAACAGACCCTTGACTTTCACTCTCGTGGGGCAGGGGCACCCGATGGCCATGGTGCAGGCCCCAGAAACAGTTGTCCTGTGGCAGCCCCCGTCTCGTAGGACGCTCAGGGCATAGTGAGCTCTCTGTGGGCATCCATCCCTCCACCCAGGTTTCTGACTCAGCCCGGCTGGCCTGTGCATAGGTGGCTCACCCGTGAACAGACAGGGGAGTCTGTGTGCCCAGTCTCTGTGTGGACGGGTGGGGGCGTGGGTGATCGCAGGCAGGGGTGGAGGGGGTGGCTGGGGGTGGGGCAGTAGGGGGCCAGCCTATAGACAGTCAGTAGTTGCCATACCCTGCATGTGGGTGTGTATGGGTATAGGGGGCCCAGGAGAGGGCGCCTGAGGGTGGGTGGCCAACATGGGGTCCCCGCATGGGGGGCGGCTGGGGCTGTGGATGGCTAGCGTGGGGGCAGCAGGGGCATGAGTGACCAGGGGAAGGTGCGTGGGGGCCCCGCGTGGGGGCGGCCAGGAGCATGGATGGCCTGAGTGGGGGCACCAGGGGCGTGGGTGGCCAGGGGAGAGGGTGTGGGGGGCGGCGGGGGCATGGGGGACCAGCAGGGACGTGGGCAGACAAGGCCCAGAGCAGAGGACGGGTCCAGCCGCACTCCCAGGTGCGGGTCATGGCCGGCTCCAGAAGGCGGGAGGGCGAGACCCAGAGAGAGGCCCTGGCTCCTGTTCGTCTCCCTCCACGGCTATTGGTGGAAGTCAGACCCCACCCCCAGCCTGGATGTGCTAGGAGCCCTGGGCTCCTTTCGTCTTCCCTCAGGGGCTGTTGGTGGAAGTCAGACTCCACCCCAAGTCCCCAGGGCTGTGCTGAGCCAACGCCTTGGCAGACCAGGGCTAGACCCCCGACTCCTCTCCCTCTGGCCCCCGCACCCACTTCTCATGGACTCGCACCTGGCCGGCAGGTGTGGCCGGCTCCCTGCGACACCGTGACTGCCGCCGACCAGCCCCTGGCCGACGCGTGGCTCCCTGTGCACCTGGGCGCCCCGATTTGGGTACCCGGCAGCCCTGTGCTTGGCCGTTCTTGCAGCTCACAGGTCCTGGGTTTCAGCAGATGCCCCTCCTGTAGGCCCGGCCTGTGTGCCCAGTGTGGGTGGCGCTCTCTGCGGACCTTTCTAGGTTTGGGACATCTTCACCAAGGTGAGGGCTAATCTAGAACATTTCGTTATCTGCCTGAGACACCCACACACAGAAGGATCGCGCGGCGTCGCCCTGTTCCTGGAGGCACCTGTCCTGAGCGCCCCGACGCCCCCTCTTCAGAGCAGCTGGCTCTGTGCCTGGCCCTCAGCTCCCTCACACTTGGTGGGACAAGTCGGGGCAGGAACGTGTCACACCACCGGGTCTCGTCCATCGCAGACACTAGCCCTCCTGGCCCTGCCATGCCACATCGGGGCCCTTGGGAAACCGTCTCCTTGGTTGCTAAAATAGGCCACTGCCGGGCTTTGCACTCCACGACCACCACTGCCTGGTTCCCGAGGCCACTGTGTTTGCCTGGATGACGTCCCTGCCTCCTCTGGTTCCCCTGTCCCCACCCTCCCTCCACCTCTAAGAGGAAGTCCAGTGGTCCTTCTAGATCCCAGTCCCGCCCTTGGGGACAGCCTCCTGCCACCGTGTCCTGAGCCCCCAGCCTCCTCAGCCCCACCCACTCTGTTCCCAGGACCCTTGCACAGTTGCCTCGCGACCTGTCCCCACTCGCTGCCTCACCTTCAGGTGGCCTCCTGTGTCCCCTCTCAAGGTGCCTTCTGAGGCCCCGCCCAGCGTCTCCACCCGCCCGCGCGTTCCTCTCCGTGGCGCTGGGCTGGTGAGATGACAGTCGGCTTTGTCATTGCTGTGCCCCAGCACCAAGGGCAGAGCCTGTGCACAGGGACTGGCTGCAGAAGCCCTAAGCAGACCCTGCCCCCTCGGGCCTTCTCGAACCGACTCCTTGTCCATCTGGATCCCAGTGACTGACAGGCGCCCCACAGGAGGGGCTGGCACTAACAGAGCTGGTCTGGGTGAAGTCTGGAACACAGGTCGGACCTGAGAGGGGACAGCCCGCCCCTGTGTGCAGCAGGAGGAGGTGGCGGGGCCGCACAGAGATTGGCGAACTTGTCTGCCTGTGGGCTGTCTACTCACCCCCAAAAAGGAGCCTGAGGGGTCCCCAGAATGGGGGGCGTCTGGCAGACCTCCCGTCTCTGATGTTTCCTGTACCGTCTGTGGGCTCAGGCCCTAGGGGCCCTGGACCAGTCCAAGGGCAGACTGGCCCCTGCTGAGTGCCCCTGCCCCCACTGAGAGTGGGTCCTGGCTGGAGCCAGACCTTGTCCTCATGCCAGAAGCACCAGGTGGAGCCCACCTTCCAGCCCTTTCATGGTTGAGCCCCTTCCGCCCCCTATCAAGTGCCCCCAAGCCCATTGCTGTGGAGTCAGTCCTGGCTCACAGTGACCCAGTGTGTTACAGAGTGGGACTGCCCCTAAGGCTTCCTTAGCTGCAGTCTCTGGAGGCAGATTACCAGGTCTTTAGGTTAGCAGCTCTGGGCAAGCCACTTGCCCCCCCCCCCC